ATAATTGTTTTTAAAGTTTTTTTTTTACTAATGAGAAGTAAACCAAATCACTTGTAGTTTCACTTTCTGAAACTTAACTATTAATGTTTTAATGTATTTTTTCCAAATTTTAAGGCATGCCAATTAGACTTAAATAAAAACAAAATCATTACTTTTTATTTATATTATTATGAGCATTTTTTCATGTCATTAAAATAATGCTAGAAGTCATGGATTAGGGAAATGGTTCATAAATGTGTTGCCATGAGTTTAAGTAATGCTGCAGCAAACATTCTTACATGTAAATTGCCATGTGACTCTGCTGTTAAGTAGACATTCTTAAGTGAGTTTCATGTTCAGTTAACCCTTCAAATGTTGTTCTACATTAGGCCACTCTTCACAGCTGCTCTTCCATTAATTGGGCAGGCTTTAGAAGAGTGGCCATGTTCTAGAGGGAAAGAGGAAAGGTGATAAGCATAGCAGTTGAAACTATATTAGAGATTATTTTATTTTTTCATAACCTTCTTTGTTTCATAGAAGATTTCTGGTGGCATTTAAAATGAAATAATCTTTTTTTTTTAAGATTTTATTTATTTATTAGAGAGAGAATGAGAGAGAGAAAGCACATGAGAGGGGGGAGGGTCAGAGGGAGAAGCAGACTCCCTGCCAAGCAGGGAGCCCGATGCGGGACTCGATCCAGGGACTCCAGGATCTTGACCTGAGCCGAAGGCAGTCGCTTAACCAACTGAGCCACCCAGGAGCCCCAAAAATGAAATAATCTTTTAAAACTTGCAAGAAACAATCAGAAATAAGAGTGGAAAGTCAAGATTAGAGAAAAAGAGTGATTTTGATATATAAGCTAGAAGCTTACATTGTATGTAATAATAAATTTGACTTTCTAGATTTGAAGGTCTTGAAATGGGATGGGAGATAAGGTTCCTTAAGAGGATCTCATGCAAAAAGAGGAAGCACACCTGCTCCTCAGAAGAATTCTTTCTAATATAAAGTAAAAATAAAGGTAGGAAAAAAATCTCTTACAAAGCTTTATATAGGAGGCAGTGAATGATTTGGAATCCTCAGCCCCATGACAACAGATGAAGCTTGAACAGATTTTATTTGGCTATTTTTTACAACATTATTTAACTCTCAGTATACCACCAGGGTCTAGAGTTTCAGTTTCATTTAAGTTCTTCTTTTGTTTGTTTGTTTGTCTTTATGTTTCATTGGGTCTGTTCGGAATTCAGAATTTTTCATTTTCTGCCCATAGTAACAAAGAGGAGGAAATTGCCAGAATAAGACAGTTTACAGTGATAAAACAGATTAGAAGATGAATGTAAAAAGATAACATGCTAAGCTTTAATAATGATGATAAAACTGATAGTATAAGTGAAATCAAAGATTGAGTTTTAGTTGATGATATCCTAGGCAAATTTTTCAAATTCATCAACTCTTGAGCAAACAATGTATTTCCAAGGAGAACAGGAAAATAGGTTATTCTCATCAAGTCAGTCATTCCACAGGAAAAACTTCAAATATTTTGTGACAAGAGTTTGGACTGTCACATATTATTGACAGTATTCCTTTATTTTCTTAATGTTTGTGCCACAGAATTTACTTAATACAGTTTATAATGGTATTAGTGCTGAAAGCAGTATGTACAAAGATGGTTGGACGGAAATAAATGATGTAGAAATGAAAAAAATGGTTGAATTGATCATTTTCATAGGTATTTATAAATCTAAATGAATATGATCTTGCATTTATGGAACCAAGAATATGGATGGCTGTTGTTCAAAAAATTATGAGCTATGACAGTTTCAAAAGTGTAATGCATTTTGGTGATACCTGAGCAAGAAGAACCAGTGTCCTCATTCGCAAGTTCCTTATTTGCAATTCTCCCCCTTGCTAGAGCTCTATTTGTAATCCCCAAATCAGCACTCGTGGCACTCTCATGATAATTTGTGGACATGTGCATGCAAAGATTAATGAAAAACAGGAATTGCCTGACATGCTTATTCCCAGCTGAAGTCAAACAAGGCCCCAAATGCTCTGCCTTCCCGTTTTAGCCTTCATTTGGAAAAACACATTTTCATGTTCTCTTGTGCTACATTTTTTGCATTTTTGTGTGAAATGGGGTATTCCAAATTGTTTTCAAAAAAATACTGAAGTTCTTCCTATGTAGTGACTGCCTGGATAATTTCAGTATTTGAGATGGCCTGTGAGTGCTATGCTGAAGTGCTGCCTAGCATTCCTGCGGGCAAAATGGCTGTGACGTGCCTGCCTTATGGAGCAGATATGTGAATCAGATAAGTTTCGTTCAGGCACGAGTTATAGTGGTGTTGGCCACTAGTTCATTATTAGTGAATGAACGATGTATATTAAATAAGGTGTCTGTAAACAGAAAGACACATGAAACTAAGTTATGCATAAAACAGGGTTATGTATTGATCTATCTGCCTCAACATGGTAGAAAATGTAGTGACTAGAGAAGGAACCTAACCTGTTTACTAACTCAGTGTTTGTGGCAACTTTATAGAACATAAATACCACAAATAATAAGAATTGACCATTCATGAGATGAATAAGTTCCATTTGGTTGCATTCAAAGAATTGCTCATTTTTGGTAAATATACTTTTAAGGCCAGGTAAATACGTAGTAAAAATTTGGGTTGCTCGTTTAAATCCTTATTAAATTAACAAATGACATTCTTTTCATTTTTCCTTCATTCTTAATGTAAATTTTTCACAAAATGACTTAAATTTTTTATATCTTTTAGAAGGTCCATTTTAGGGATGCCTGGGTGGCACAGTTGGTTAAAGCGTCCGACTCTTGGTTTCAGCTCAGGTCTGATCTCAGGGTCATGAGATGGAGCCATGTCGGGCTCTGCACTCAGTGTGGAATCCACTTGAGTTTCTCTCTCCCTCTCTTTGCCCCTCCCTCCACTTGCGCGCTTGTGCTTGTGCACTCTGTCTCTCAAATAAATTAATCTTTAAAAATAAATAAATAAAAGGTCAATTTTACCCAGAAAATGACTGGCTTTTTTGTGTGAGTTTTTTTGTTTGTTTTGTTTTTAAATATACTGTGGGTTAATAAAAGCTGGAAGCATAAGAAAACACAGTTCATCGAAAGTAGTTCACATAGGTGCTTAGATACTATGATCTGGGGGTACTGGGTAATCCAGAATACTTGAAATAGATCTTCCATTACTTTTCTTTTTTGAGTTATTGACAGATTGCTAGAATAACAGCTTGAGATGATTCTCTTTGGTGAAGGTTCCAGAGTTCTGTATTTGTAGGATGAGGGCCTGTTTGCTTTAGAACCCAGAAAAGCCAAGTTATAAATTAGACCTATTGACCTCTGTTGACCTTCAGTATTTGTGGGTTCACTACCTAGTAACAGGATGTCAGAAACCTAGTAACAAAATGTCAGAACGTTTTAAGAGTGAGTACATAGGGGGCGCCTAGGTGGCTTAGTCAGTTAAGCGTCCGCCTTCAGCTTAGGTCATAATCCCAGGGTCCTGGGATCAAGCCCCACGTCATCGTCGGGCTCCCTGCTCAGTGGGAAGCCTGCTTCTCTTCTCTCTCAAATAAATGAATAAAATCTTAAACAACAAAAAAAGTGAGTACATAGTTCAAAACTGTATTCTTTTATTTATAACAAATTTCTTATGAGAGACGCTGTTGTTAAAAACTGACCCTGAAATGTGTGTTTATCCTTTATGGCCTTTAGTGTATTTTTTGTTTGCTTTTTGCTCTTCCCCACTGGACTGAGTTTAAACGCATGAAAGAAGGGTACATTTTTATGTTTCTGCACTAAGCAGTAGTGCTTGACACTAAGTATTCCTTTCATTGAATAGTGATCCTAGTGAGTTTGTGGATGAAGAGATCAATACATAGGTAAATTATGACCCAGATTAGTAATTGATGGCAAAATTAGGATGTGGATTCTTATTAGAGTGTGAGAAAATTAAGTGATAATATTAAATATTAAACACTTTGGGCTCCATAGAGGTATCCTTAATCACTATGTATAGACTCTTCCTCCTCAATACGACAGAATACTTTACTTTGAAGTTATTTTAGGATACAGCCTGTACATGGTGAAAAACTTAATATCCAAGCCTGCATAATTATTAGTGCTGTCTGTTTGGCTTCCCCACCCTTGTACTCACATACTTTGGTTTCTGTGAGTCCACATGCTTCTGGTGTTCCTCCCGCTTTAGCATCCTCCCCAGACGCCTTCCTGTGTAGGCCCTATCCTTGTTTTTCTTTTTTGCTCTAAAATGTTAGGGAATATCAATGAAGTTCTCCCCACATATTCTTAAATATGCTGATTAGGCCAGTCTGTTTTCATCATCCTTCACTTTTTCTAAAACCATTTAAAAGTGTGTTGTAGGGTGCCTGGGTGGCTCAGATGGTTAAGCGTCTGCCTTTGGCTCAGGTCATGATCCCGGGGTCCTGGGATCAAGTCCCTCATTGGGCTCCCTGTTCCTTGGGAACCCTTCTTCCTCTGCCTCTCTCTCTCATGAATAAATAAAATCTTTTTTAAAAAGTGTGTTATAAGTACACATTTAGTATTTTTATTCTAACAGTTCTCTTGACCACAGAAAAATATTAATATGATTTTTATTTGAAAAGCGCATGTTCCACAAAGTACCGAACAGCTAGTCTTCTAAAAAACATTAATTCCTTTGTGCTTAAGAATTACTTAGATTACAGGGAACACTACATCAAAAACTAATGATGTATGGTGACTAACGTAACATAATAAAATTAAAAAAAAAAAAGAATTACTTAGATTAAGTTAGAAAGATTTTAGAAGGTTTAACAAAAAGCTTACGCATTTTTACTGCAATGTTTAATTTTAAAATGGGCCCAATTAGCTCTAGATTATTAAATAATCAGGAACCTTTGCTAAAGGAAAAATTCATAAAAGTATTTATACGTATAACTCTAACTCTTGTTATAATTCCCATCTTATTTCTCTGGCCATTTGTTTTATGAGTGTTTTTTTCTCTTAGCTTGATAAAGATGACATGGTATACATGGAAGCCTATGACAAATTGCTAGAATCCTGGCTAACTTTGGTTCAAGACGACAAACATTTCCATAAAGGCTTTTTTACCCAACATGCAGTTCAAGTTTTCAACTCCTATATTCAGTGCCACCTCGCAGCTCCAGATGGCACGAGGAATTTGGTAAGTTTCAAGCTGGATTGTAAGTAAAAATGTATTTCATCGTAACTCTGTTTTGTCTCTTTTATTCTATTATACGTTGTATAATACTAGAAATTTAGGAGGAGCTTTTTCAGAAGATTTGCTGAGAGCATTAAAGCAAAAGTCACCCCATTTACTAAGTGAGTTCATGTTTTGTGGGGTGCTGCTTGTAGTTACCCTGTTTCTCTTCAGTTTTCACTTACCCACCTGTGTCTTCCTAGTTGTCCAGTGATACAAATGACTTCTTGTATATAAAGGACCTTGGATCTTAAAGATGTCAGATCTTTTCAGTCAGTGACAGAAGTTAAATTCTCTGGTGTGGGAGGTGGGTTGTGAGTGCAGTTTGCTCTGTTTATATATGTGCACCACGGGGTAATAACCCTCCGTTTCTTTCTCTTCGGTGTCTCCCTCCCTGCTTTTCTTTTGTCAGCATAGTTAGATAGCAGGCCCTAGACCGCTGAGTTGGCACTGTCCACCTCCTTTCCATGTGATGTGCTGAAGTTATTTTATAATGCAACAAAAATGCATGATTCATTGAACAAAGGAATGCAGTTCCTCACTCTTTATTTCTTTCTTCAATAATAGACTGCCAATGGTGTGGCCTCTCGTGAGGAAGAAGAAATAAGTGAACTTCAAGAGGATGATCGAGACCAGTTTTCAGATCAACTAGCCAGTGTAGGAATGCTAGGAAGAATTGCTGCAGAACACTGTATACCTCTTCTGACAAGGTACACACAGTCCAAAGAAACCCCATGGAGCAAATATTCTCTATTCACAATTCCCTGGAGAGCACTTAAAGTGTTTAAAGACTTTAAACACCCCCACCCCGTATCCCAGCACACTGGAACAAATGGACAGAAACATACTCATGATTGCATTCCTTGGCTTGTACATTTGGAGCCCAGGCACTACAGCATAGATGGCAGAGAGATTGTGGAAAACATGGTATGAGAAATGATTTGACCCATATCAATAAAACCTTGGAATAACCAGTTTTCAAATGCCTGTTGTAAACCTTGATTGTTTGTAAAGCAATGTTTTAATTCTATGTCATGAACAATAAATCACAATTCCTATATTGCTATGAGAACAGTTGTGTACTATAATATTTTCATACATGTGTTTTTGCGCTAACGTCTTAATTTATGTTGCCTAATAAATGGAAATTATGAGTTGTTCTAGATCTTTGCTTATTGAGCTTTATGAAGCTTTGGGTTTTTTTCCCCCCCTCTTTCAGTTTATTAGAAGAAAGAGTAACAAGGCTCCATGGTCAGTTACAGCGACATCAGCAGCAGTTACTTGCTTCACCTGGTTCAAGCACTATTGACAACAAAATGCTTGATGATCTGTATGAAGATATTCACTGGCTTATTTTAGTTACAGGTTGGTTGGTTGTTTCTTTTTAAAATGTAATTGCCAACTGAGCAGTTTAAACTTCCTATGTTAGAAGAAGCTTCATATGTTAAAAAAATAAAAGTCCATACATAGTGTTGGGTGAAATTTGAATACAGCTGCTGTATATCACAGAGCTATGGATGCATTTTTTTTAAATACTAGCTAACATGTATATTTAATGCCTATTGCATACCCAGTGTCTTATGTGGAATTGATTGCAACCCACTGATTTAGTACTATTACCAGGTTTTGTTACTGTTATTATTATTATCCCCATCTTGTAAATGCAGAAGCTGAGAGAGAGTTTTAAAGAAACCAGCCCATGGTCACACTGCTATTAATTTTTGGAGCCAGAATGCAAATCTAGGTAGTCTGACTTTTAGGGTCTTCTTTTGTAACCATATTAGCAGTGTTTCTCTATTCCAAATAATCAAGAAAAATCTTAATTTTTGAAAAGGCATTCCCAAATACTGACTTTTGATAGAGATAATAGTAGAATTCCTATTACATTTACAGAATATATTACTGAAAATTATTGAAAGGTAGTAGATTAAAAAGTCTACATGTCAATATGAATTATAAAATTGGTGAATAAAACATTTGGCCTTTGTATTTTGAGAGTTAATTATCTGAGAAATAGAAAATTTCTTCTCCTTAAACTTGAAATTAACATTTATAATTTACTTTTACATCAACTTAATATGATGTATGTAAATCAGATAAAACTGAAAGCATTTATAGTGCAATTTGATAAATGTAGATTTGTTAAGTGTTCATTTTTAATTTTTTTTAAACTGAAGGCTACCTCTTAGCTGATGATACTCAGGGAGAGACTCCGCTAATACCTCCAGAAATAATGGAATATTCCATTAAGCATTCATCTGAAGTTGACATTAATACAACACTTCAAATTTTGGGATCTCCAGGAGAAAAGGCTTCTTCCATCCCAGGGTACAACAGAACAGATTCTGTGATTAGGTAATATGAACTCTATAGCTGTGCTCTTGTAATTTATACTGTTTTATAAATTCTGAGTTGATGGGTAGATGACTCGAGTGTTAGGCACGTTGTAAATCTGATACATGAAAGAAAATAAAACTTGGAGAAGCCTTGAAATAAACAAGGATGGCAAGTACTCTGTATATATATAAGTAATGCCACTCTGGTGAGAATTGACAGCTATATCCTGTGCTGAGCAAAACAAATGTAAAATTACGCTGATTACAGTGAGACTTTGAAGGGACATTTGATCGAAAGTTCTCTGAACATATCCCATGTCCATCAGAAAGCAGTGCTAACACGGTACAGGCACCCTAAGTGAATGAAACAAAGTATATGAGATTCTTAGAAACCAGGGAAAGCTAAAACTGTATTTAAACGGCTTTTTAAGGAAAACTATGATTCTTACCTTATAAAGTAGAAATATTTGTCCTGAATATGTGAAACTTGAGAGTCCTGTCAGGTGAAGTTAGAAGACAATAGTGTGCCTCAGATGAGAATTCACTTTGATCTTCCTAGTAGTAGTGGCAAAGTTTTCATTCATTCTTAATGATGAAATGAAGGAGGGATACACCCAGACAAATATCCTCCTGGAAGAGGATTTGAAAACAGCATTTTAAATATCAGTATCTTTAAATTTAGGTTTCAGGCAGAGATATCAGTATTGAAATAACATTGGTTTTTGCCATTTGCAAAATCAAGCAGGGTGCTGTCCTCTCATCTTTTTAATTTTAATGCAAAAATATATGGATCTCATTTACACCTGTGCAGTAGAAAATATTTTTTTTGAAAAATGAACTATTAAGTTAATATCAAGGAAATGTTTGAGAATTTATTTCCTTTATTGTTTTATTCTCTTGTTTGAAATAAAATATCAATGCTCTATTGAAAAAGTTTTGTTCTTTGGGGGATTACTATAGGCATTAGATTAGGTGCTTGTGGAAATCATTGCTTTTGCTTTGGTTTGATTCATGGTGAATGTCAATTTCAAAGGCAGTTCATTTCAGGGTGCTGTCATATTATATTCTGTGTCACATTTCTTGCCTGGGCAGTACCATCAGGAATGCTTTCCTTGTATTTTCAGTGCTTTTTCAATTTTTGCCAGTCTCAGGTATCAGTGTGGGAGCAAAACATTTTTGTATCTGAGAGCACAGACTATGGAGGGTTGAGGTGAAGGTTGGAAAACAAAAATTGCCTTTTTTTTTTGGTCCAAAGAATTAACGTGATATTAAATTTGAAAGGCTATATGAGAGAAACATTCCTAGTTTGACTAAAAAAAGTTCACATTTCTTGAAGAATTTATCCTTTGACAAATAATTATTGTGTACCAAATATATACCAGGTACTGTTCTGGGCATTTGTGATACATCAGTGAACAAAATAAAAATGATTCCCCTTTTAAAACTTCTTATAGGGGAAAGATAATAAATAAACCATATAGTATGTTAGAAGACCATAACTGCTGTGGGATAAGAAACTGAGCAGGTAGGGGGAATCAGGAGTGCAGATTTCAGAGATTTGTGTGATTTTAAATGTTGTAATCAAGTATAGACTTTATTTAGAAGGTGACTCGTGAGCAAAGACTTGAGGTTGGTAAGAACAAGGCCGTGAAGGCCTGAGGAAGAGCATTCCAGGCAGAGTGAACAGCTAACACAAAGGCCCTGTGTCATGTATAGCATATTCAGGCAACAGTGGGAACTGCCATTGTGGGTTGAGCAGAGTGAGGTGGAATTTTGTCAGAAGATGGAGATAGAAGGGAAAATAGAGGGGACTCAGATAAGGTCTTTAGCCTTTGCTCTGAATGAAGTGGGGTGCTGTTATAGGGTTTTGAACAGAAGAGTAACTTACACGTTAAAAAGGTTACTCTGCTACCTTGAGAGTAAACTATGAGTGACAGAAATGGAAGCAGGGAGACCAGTGAAGAAGCTTATTGAAGTAATCCAAGGGAAAGGTGATAAGTGGTCCAGATCAGAGTGATAACAGTAGATGTTGTGAGAAGTTAAAGAGAGCTCTCTTGGACTAATTTTGCTGACTTTTGGTTTATGAAATGCAAAGGTAATCCAAGATTAATTTGTAAAGTATGAGAAAGTGTGAGTGCTGTCTGAAATATAAAGTATGTTCAGATAGCATACTTAAGAAAGTAAAATAGGATTAGAAATTGGAAATATCAGGGCGCCTGGGTGGCTCAGTTATTAAGCGTCTGCCTTCGGCTCAGGTCATGATCCCAGGGTCCTGGGATCGAGCCCCGCATCGGGCTCCCTGCTCCGCGGGAAGCCTGTTTCTCCCTCTCTCTCTCCCCCTGCTTGTGATCCTGCTCTCACTTTGTCTCTCTCTGTCAAATAAATAAAATCTTTAAAAAAAAAAAAATTGGAACTATCAACAATTAAAAAATATTTTGAGTGTAACATTGTGTGTCCACTACACTTTAATGAAAAAAATGTGTTATCTTCATCAGTTGTTTCTTCCACTCCCCTATGTGCCAGGATATGAGGATACAATAGAAGTCTGCTAGAGTGATAGAGGAGCACCTAGCAGCGGAAGGATCAAGGGGTGCTTTTGGGAAAGATGGCATTTAATCTGATAGTTGAGGGTTGAATAGGAGTTTGCAGAAGGCAAAGGGTATTCCAGGCAGTGACAATAGCCTAGGCAGAGGCCTGGAAGTGAGAGTGTGGCTTAAAGCAAGAGGCAGTTTGGTGTTGCTCGCGTGTAAGTGTGGAGGGGAGAGGTCTTTGCAGAGATGGAGAAGTAGGGATGGTGCTGCGTATTGGGCGAAAAAGATTGGAAGTAAGGAGGTGAACTGATCAAACCATAGTAGTAGGATTATACTGTGGCAGATGGATTTAAAGGATGACAAAGCAGGGGGGGGCCTGGGTGGCTCAGATGGTTAAGCGTCTGCCTTCGGCTCAGGTCGTGATCCCAGGGTCCTGGGATCGAGTCCCGCATCGGGCTCCCTGCTAGGCGGGGAGCCTGCTTCTCCCTCTGCCTCTGCCTCTCTCTCTCCCTCTCTCTGACTCTCATGAATAAATTAATAAAACATTAAAAAAAAGGGTCACCTGGGTGGCTCAGTCGTTAAGCGTCTGCCTTCGGCTCAGGTCATGATCCCAGGGTCCTGGGATCCAGCCCGGTATCAGGCTCCCTGCTCTGCGCCTCTCCCACTCCCCCTGCTTGTGTTTCCTCTCTCGCTGTGTCTCTCTCTGTCAAATAAATAAATAAAATCTTTAAAAAAAAAATTAAAAAAAAAATGTACACTCTTGTCTAAAAAAAATAAAAATAAAAAAATAAAGGATGACAAGGCAGGTTAGGAAGCATTTTCATTAGTAGTAGTGAGGGTGGAAAGAGGCAGATGGTTCTTTCAGAAGTAGCCCCATGGGATTTTGCTGACTGCTAGGGTGCGGCCATGAGGATAGGGGAAGGCTCAGGGGAGCCTCAGTTTTACCTGCCTACAAACTGCCTGTGCTACTCTTCTTTACCTTGCTCCCACTTTACAAAAGAAAAGCAAGAGCTCTTACTCATTCTGAATCTTACCATAGTGGAGAGGCAGGCGTGTAAAAACGTGCCAAGTGCCAAATAAAGGGATGTTTCCAAATAGTATGGTGTTGGGAGTGAATGACTGAGTAATAGATAACCAGTCATTTTACAAATCAGGAGGTTTTCAGCCCTTTGCATTAAATGACGTTGAAGAAATCAAGTTGTCAGTTAACAGATGATTAAAAATAATTTTTGATAGTAGATCTCTGTGATTTTTGGCATATAACTTGGAAGAAGTTCAAATAATGAAGGAACCCTTTTATTTTAAAAACACCTTCCATTTATGTAATTAGGTTTTCTCAGTGTTTCTATTTAAGTGAAGAAGGAATCAAATCAAATTATGCTCAACTCTGTCTCATTCTAGCAATAAGTAATATTTTTTCACAGATACATGAACTCATTTGGAAAAACAAAATCCTGCTACATTAATTTCATTCACAAATGCATAAAATTTTGTTTTTATGTTTAATAATTTATTTAAATTTGTGGTGTACTTCGCTCAATTGTGTACTAATAAGTATTGTAGCGGTAGATAATCCAAAAGATGTTTTAAAACAGTCTTATGATCACTGGGAATATTTTTAAATTATATTTCAATAACTAGACATACTTGTTTCAGAGAATTATATGGTGTGATCAGTAAATGAGCATAAAAATGTATTAAGATAATCTGTGGGGAAATGACGTTGAAATAAAAATTTAAGGAGAAAAACAATGTAAAGTTTCCAACTGTTAAAGAAAAACTTGTTTATTTTTCAAATGGATGATGGTGGGTATCAGAACACTGATAACTAAATTCCTGTGTATGAATTTAGAAAATTACTGTAATTATTTAATTCAGATTCTGCTAGGCTACAAGTTATATCATTTAAAACTATTCTTATGGGAAAAATCTGATACATCAACTTAAATGTATTGTGAAGTCATGGGGTATTTTTGTTCACATCCACCCTAAAGTAATTTTTGAAAATTTGAGCACTCGTGATACAGGGAGTGTGTAATATATAGGGAAAAAAGATGTTCTGGGGGTAGAAACTTAAAAACAACTGGTTTGGTGCAAGGGAAGAAATTATTTCAAAAGGACAGAGGGATAAACAGTAGCTAGAACTTCCGAGACATCCAGTTGGATAAAGAAGTGAAATGTAAAATTTCATTACAAGGAGATAATTTCAGTCATCTTGAGAGCAGTAAGGAAAAGTAGCAAAAGCCAAACTTCAGGTGATTAGAATCCCTGTTTTGGCACAGATATCCATAAAATGATGTTAAGATGGATTCTTTCAATTACACCCTTTCCTTCTTTGCCTTTTAGCTAAAGTCAAGTTAAATATATACCACTTCTGATTATGTTCTCTCCTACTCCCACCCCCAGAACAAAGACTTTTCAACTTAACTGCATATCATGCTCTGTTATTAAAACCACATAGCTATATGAATTATGTAGTGTAGGAGAGGACACTTTCTTAGAGCATATCATCACGGAGATAATTTTTTTAGCAAGATTTTTATTTTAAAATACCATTAAGAATCAAGTTTGTTAGGAAGTATATAGGACTATCAGATTTAGAGACAAGATTCAGTATTCAAAGCATTCTAGATAAGTCAATTTCCAGATCCTCTACCATAAAATGACAAATATATAAAAACATGCTAAACCATGGGAGTTTTGAGTAGTGATAAAGTGCTGAAGAATGTAGCATTTACTCTGAACTTTTAATTGTATTTCTCAATTTTGAATGTGAAAAACATCTTTAGATGGTAATGCTGAGACTTGCACATTTGGTACAACTTCCACAGAAGGTTGTCTCTATCCGTGACTCTTTGCTTTGTCTTGTTTCCTGCTTCCTGAAAGGTCAGCAATAAAATGGGGCATTTGTGTACAAGCCTATTGAAAATTTCAAGTATAGCCTGGCCTAAATTCAGAGAGTTGAGAAACAGAAGAAGGACTTTTAAGAAAAAAATAAGATTAGACAGTCAGTAAATAAAAGAATAAATGACTTCTTTTTTATACCTACAGGCTGTTATCTGCCGTTCTGAGAGTTTCAGAAGTTGAATCTCGAGCAATAAGAGCAGATCTCACTCATCTACTAAGCCCTCAAATGGGCAAAGATATTGTTTGGTTTCTAAAACGTTGGGCAAAGACTTACCTCCTGGTGGATGAGAAACTATATGATCAGGTCAGAATGTAAAACTGACTTCGTTTGGATTTATGATGATGACAGTTACGGAAATGAGAACATTTTTCTTGGTGATTTTCTCATCAAAATATAACTAAGAGCTGAACATCTTCCACATTGAAAAGAACTGTATGAATGGTGTGCGATTTTAATAACTTTCTTAGAGCACATCATTTGATTCAGCTTATTTTAACCATATTAATTTACAGATTACTATTGGGAATGGATTAATTTATTTTCTTTGTATTTGGTGTAAATATCATGTTGGTATGTTAATATGAAAATAAAGTTGACAGGAAAATCACATTGGAAGATTAAGTGGATTGAGGGTGTCTTTTTTCGACTTAACAGAAATGAATACATTTAAAAATTGATGTGAAGTAAGTAGTACTTCAGATTTAGATGCTAATTTCAGTTTGATTTTTCTGCGAGTTTCTTTTGAAGTGATCTATCTTTCTGACTTTAAAAACTTTGTTTTCTCTCTTAAGATAAGTCTGCCATTCAGTACAGCATTTGGAGCAGATACAGAAGGTTCTCAGTGGATTATTGGCTACCTCTTACAAAAAGTCATCAGTAACCTCTCAGTGTGGAGTAGTGAACAGGACCTTGCAAATGACACTGTGCAGCTCCTTGTCACTTTGGTGGAAAGAAGAGAAAGGTAAGCTGATTATAGGCGAGAGAGAGAGAGAGAGAGAGTGTGTGTGTGTGTGTGTGTGTGTGTGTGTGTGTGTGTGTGTGTAGTCTTTCAAGTGGCAAACAGTTACATGGTCCTAAGGTCCAGATAGACCTTGCATTTTGGAGCAGTGTACTTAAAAAAAAAATCCCGTATTATTGCATTAATGGAAATGAGTTTTCCCATGTTAAAATTGAGGATTGTGTTGACTATTCAAGGATTTGGCATTAAAGAATCTTATGAGAAACATGTTTAATTCAGTAATTATAGTTTTAAAAAGACTTTAATATAGAATAATCTCACTTAATTTTTTCAGGTATCCTATTCCACTTTAAAGATGAGAAAAACTTGATAATTTAGTAATTTTGTAAGTTAAGAGCTTTAGTGTTTTCTACAACTCTGGAAATGTTTCTCATTTTTCTTACTACATAGGAATGTGGTTTTTACTACTTTTGGCATTGGCTGACTCTTACTTATTGAGTTCTTTTAATTTACTAGGTACTGTCCCAAGCATTTCATGTATAGTATTTTATTTAATCATAAGATCAGTCTCAACCATGAGAGTTAGGTCTGTTATTACTGTTGTTCCTCCTATTTTACAGATCTGAAAACTAAATAAGAGAGAGTAAATAAATTTTACATTGTCAAATGACTGATGGGATTTGAGCACAAAATTATGTGACTCCAAAGTCTATACCAAGTTTACTATACTGTACTTTAAAAACTAATTAAATTCAGTTACCTTCCATTATTGTTTGCTTAATATACATGCCATGTAAGTAATACATCTTATGCTTTATTTCTGCCTGTAGGGCAAACTTAGTAATTCAGTGTGAAAACTGGTGGAACTTAGCTAAGCAGTTTGCAAGCCGAAGCCCACCTCTGAATTTCTTGTCAAGTCCTGTGCAGAGGACATTGATGAAGGCTCTTGTTTTGGGAGGTTTTGCACATATGGACACAGAAACCAAACAGCAGTATTGGACAGAGGTAACAGTTCCTTTTATTTTGATTGCACCCTCTTATATCTTACCCTGTGTGTTGCTGTAAAATACTCTGTGGAGACATAAACATGTCAGTCATACCTTTTCTGGTACTTTTCCCTTATAATGAATAGGTTGAAGCTTATTATTTTACAGATATCTTACAATTTATCCATATCTGCATACGTGATGACTTTTGAATATTATCAGGTGTTCTGTGGTTTGGGCACATTTTTGCCCACAACTCAAATGAGAGCCTAAAGAATCAGTCTTGAATACGGAGATGCAAATTAACCACTATATTAGTTTGCTAGGACTGCTGCAACAAAATATCACAAATTTAGTGATGTAAAAATAGAAATTTATTCTCTTGGAGGTCTACAGACCAGAAGTCCAAGATCACGGTGTTGGTAGGGTTGGTTCCTTTTGAAGGCTGTGAGGGAGAAGATGTTCCAGGCCTCTCCCCAAATTTCTGGTGGTTTGCTAGCAGTCTTTGGCATTCCTTATGTTGTAGAAGCATCATCGTAATCTCTGTCTTCATCTTCATGTGACATTCTCCATGTGTGCATGCCTGTCTGTAAAGATAACAGTCGTACTGAATCAGAGGCCCACTCTCTAATAACCTCTTCTTAATTTAATTATATCTGCAACAACCCTGTTTCTAAATAAGGCCACATTCTGAGGTACATGTGGTTTGGACTTAACTGTATCAATTTGAGGGGGACATAATTCAGCCAATAACCACTGTGGACACATTGCCTTATGTAAATTAGCTTTAAATCAGGAACCAAGAGTTACCAGTGTATGTAGGTGGGTGGCCTGTAGTCCCTGTGACTAGAGTGCTCTTAATGTCTGAGAAGGGACATGGTAACAGAATTAGGTAGTCATCTGTGACTTCAGACCAGAATTTAAATAATTGTATTATCATATGTACAGCTTTAAATAGAATTAAGATATCTTCATGAATATGCATTTTCACTCAGGGCAGGACTGATTATCTGAAGAATGTCCTCTGCCAAGAGGAGTGAGAAAAGAGAAAAACAGGCAAGAGCTGTATGTTGGGCTTGACCCTGGGGAACAGAGGTTGGCAAATTGGAGCCCACAGACCAAATCTGGCCTGCTGTCTCTTTGTAAATAAAGTTTTATTGAAACACAGTCATGTTCAGTTGTTTACATTTTTATGTCTGGCTGCTTCTGTGCTACAGTGCAATTGTAATTGGGTAGTTGGGCCAGAGATGACACATTCTGCAAAGTCCATATTTATTCTCTGGCCCTTTGGAGACTTAAATTTCATCTTTGGGGGTGGGAACAGTTAATGAATTGGAGAGAGATGATGATAGTGACAGAATTCTGTGAATGGCATTGACTAAGTCATGTTCTGTGATTTGTGGTTTTTGGAACCTAAATTACTTCAGGAAGTGGTTTGACTTACATATGTTGTGAAATGATTACCACAAGAAGTTTAGTCAATATCCATCATCTCGTATAGATACAATAAAAAGAAAAAACAAAAAGAAATTTTTTTCTTGTGATGAGAACTCTGAGGATCTACTCTTTTAACAATTTTCCTATATATCATACAGCATAATAATATATATTAACTATAGTCATCATGTACATTACACTCCTAGTACTTATTTATCTTATCACTGGAAGTCTGTACCTTTCAACTACCTTCCTCCAATTCCCCTTTCCCCACTCCCCCACTCCCCACCTCTAGTAACTACAAATATTTTTCTTTTTTACAGAACAATTTTTTTTTTACTAATCTTTTTCTGAGAGTTGGGATTTTTTGTTATTTTATTATTTTATTAAAATTCCTCATTGTAAGTAAGATCATATGGTATTTGTCTTTCTTTGTCCGAGTTACTTAAGATATACCTTTAAGGTTTATCCATGTGGTCGCAAATGGTAGGATTTCCTCATTTTTTATGGCTAAATATTCCGTTGCATATGTACCACAACTTCTTTATCCATTCGTCCATTGGTGGACACTCAGGTTGTTTCCATGTCTTGGCCATTGTAAATAATGCTGCAGTGAACGTGGGGGTTCAGATGTCTTCTCAAGTTACTGTTTTTATTTCCTTTGGATATATTCCCAGAAGTGAAATTACTGGGTCATATAGTAATTCTGTTTTTAATTTTTTGATGGTCCTCCATACTATTTTCCATTGTGGGCTGCGCCAGTTTACAATCCTCACGAATAGTGCACTGGGATCCCCTTTTCTCCACATCCTTGCCAGCATTTATCTCTTGTCCTTTTGATGATGGCCATTCTAAAAGGCATGAAGTGATGTCATATTGTGGTTTTGATATCCATTTCCCTAATGACTAGTGTACTGTGTATTATTTCTTTATGTAGGCCAGAAGTTATGATGACCCTCAAAATGGGGAATGTAGGGGTGCCTGAGTGGCTCAGTTGAGCGTCCAACCCTTGATTTTGGCTCAGGTCATAATCGCAGGGTTGTAAGATGAAACCCCTTGTTGGGCTCTGTGCTTAAGAATCCCTCCCTCCCTCTCCCCCACCCCCCCCACTTGCACATGCACACATGCTCTCTCCCTCTCTAAAATAAATAAAATCCTTAAAATGGGGAATGTAACATGTGGTTCAGATGTTCTTTGTTTTCAGTGCTTTTTTTGCCTCCAACAGTTTGTAATGCTTTAGAAAGTGAATATTTATCCAAGTTGAGGAAATAAAGTTGAAATAAATGAAGCATGTGAATTAAACTTTTAGAAAATTATGCTTTACTTTGATAGGTTCTTCAGCCACTTCAGCAGCGATTCTTAAGAGTGATAAATCAAGAAAACTTTCAGCAGATGTGTCAGCAAGAGGAAGTCAAGCAGGAAATCACTGCCACACTGGAGGCCCTGTGTGGCATTGCTGAGGCTACCCAGATTGACAATGTAGCAATTCTTTTTAATTTTTTGATGGACTTCCTTACCAATTGCATTGGATTGATGGAAGTTTACAAAAATACCCCAGAGACTGTCAATCTCATAATAGAAGTTTTTGTTGAAGTTGCACATAAACAGATATGCTATCTTGGAGAGGTAAGCACTTTCTAATTTTATCCCTTTAGGATTAGAACTCCTTAAAGTATAACAAAATAACAGATACTTTATTTTAAATTTAATGAATACTATCTGAAATAATATTTTTGTGCCTCCAAAAGAGTTTTCAAAAAGACTTCAGAACTTTGCAGAAGAACTCAAGAGTTCAGAGGAAGGCTTATTGAAGGAATATAAATTCTTGCCCTAATACTGTTAGTAATCAGTAATATTTTTTTTAATATAATGTTATTCAATCAAACTCATCCAAATGAGGAATGTTTGATAAGACAAATGGTGGAAAAATTTAATCAGTTTCTGTCTGTTGAAAGTCTAAGGTTAGGCTTAAAATTTTAAATGGTAATTTGTATCTTTGCTTTATAATCAAATGGATATTTAGACACTTTAATTCTTTTACGATCAGTAAGCAGAGGTGCATTAATTTTTAGAAATTATTTAGAAAGCTGTTTTAAAAGTGCCTTAAAGGAATATATTTGTAATTGCCTGCAGATTAGCATAAATCTTGTTTTAAACCATTTCATATGGGTTCCTGATTTGTAAACTTTTTAGTTAGATCAAAGGCACTTGCTCAAAAGTAAGATTTTATTTTATAAATATTACAAATGTAGTCACAGATGCATGACTGAGAGGGCAGGCCATTGCCATTTATTTTGATGTTTAAGACTACTGTTTGGGGGGTGCCTGGGTGGCTCGGTCGTTAAGCGGCTGCCTTCGGCTCAGGTCATGATTCCAGGGTCCTGGGATCAAGCCCCGCATCGGGCTCCCTGCTCCGCAGGAAGCCTGCTTCTCCCTCTCCCACTCCCCCTGCTTGTGTTCCCTCTCTCACTGTGTCTCTCTCTGTCAAATAAATAAAATCTTTAAAAAAAACAAAAACTACTGTTTGGTACTCTGTGCTTTTGCAAGTTAAACAATATTAAATCTTAAAATAATAAATGTTATACAAGAAGTTGAAACAGCAGAAGTAAAACAGTTCTGTTGCCAAAATCTTATTATCTCTCTAGTATGTATTATCAAATGAACAAAAAAATGGATTTCAAATTTTGTTAGGAAACTGCTAATTTTTAAAATATAACTGCCATCTTTAATACATGCTTTTTCATTTTTCTTAATGTTTTACAATAGTTTAAAACAAGTATTTGAGCTACTATTGGGATTCAGAGTAAATTTTTTAGATTATAGATTCTTTTAGGGTTTATATTTTTTTCCCAAATAAGTTCTACTTAGTAGTGTAATTTATCACCCATTCTCTTACAGTCCAAAGCTATGAACCTATATGAAGCTTGCCTTACTTTGCTGCAAGTATATTCTAAGAATAACTTAGGGCGGCAAAGAATAGATGTTACAGCAGAGGAAGAGCAATACCAAGACCTGCTTCTCATTATGGAACTTCTTACTAACCTTCTGTCAAAAGAATTCATAGATTTCAGTGATACAGGTAAGATGTAGTGTGATGGTTTTAAACTTTGTTTTTATTGTCTTTTTTTAAAGCAAAAGAATGTTTTTTTTTGTTTTTTAAGCAAAGGAATGTTTCTAAGTGAAATTTTATGAAGTTCAGTTTATAAAATCATGAAAGTCAGTCTATTTGAAGCGAAAGTAGGACCAACATCCCTTCCTGCTTGGCTCTTCTAAGAATAATAGTAATAATACCTTCCATTTATTAGGTTCTTAAAAATGCCAAGCACTGTTCATATCACAATGGCAAGAGATAGGTATCATTGTTATACTCAGTTTATAGATGAGAAAACAGGCACAGAGAAAGTCGTGTCATTTGCCCACAGATCAATAGCTAGTAAGTTGCAGGACTGGGATTCTCATCCCAGCATCTAAATGAGATGCCAGGACCAGTCTTTTCTGAGTTACACTTTATTTACTTATTTAGATTTTATTTATTTGAGAGAAAGAGAGTGTGTGTGTGAGTGAACATGAGCAGAGGTGAAGAGGGGCAGAGGGAGAAGAAGACTCCCGCTGAGCAGGGAGCCTGATGTGGGGCTCCATCCCAGGACCCTGGGATCATGACCTGAGCCGAAGGCAGCCGCTTAACCAACTGAGCCACCCAGGTGCTCCTGAGTTACACTTTATTGACTGAATCACTCCCCTGTGTTCTCGGAGATAGCTATCCCTGAAAACTGTAGCACTTTCCAGATTGCAGCTTGGTTGGGAACCCTTGTTGGGATGGGTAACACTGAATTCTGGAGCTGACAGGCCAACTTGGAAGGCCTAACCTAGGGGCTCACAGACAGCCTGACCTTGGGGAAGTCAGTTGGCCTTTCTTCGTTTATTCTGTTAAAGTGGGTACATAATAAATGCCATTTGAAATGTCTTAAAGATTAGCTACAAAGTATCAGGGTGCCAAGCATTGTTCCTGGCAACCAGTAGGTAAAAGAAAGTTGATATTACAGGCAAGAACTTTATTAGTAATTGAAACATCATTTATTTGCATAGTTTTCCTTCACTTTCCTCTTAACCCACTGCCAACCGTACCTTAAAACCCAAGGGATCTTGTTTTCTAAGAGAAAAATGAATCCTATCTAAAGCTTCCTTTCATACGTTGTGCAGACATTCATAGTAGTAGACACTTCTGACATCCTTGTAAGATTCTCTTTCTGAATTGGGTGCTATGACATTCCACTTTTTCCCCAATACTTGAGATTCTTCTTTCTCTGTTTCCTTTATTGATTTATTTTCCTTATCCACTGAACAACAGTGTTTTGCAATGTCTGCCCCTACCCTAAGCACAGTTTTACAGTCCAGACAGTTTACTCTCCTTCGCAGTTAACGAGGGGTACCTAGGAGAGAAGCACCGTCCTGCACTTCCCCTCAGTGAATTCTTTCTATACCAAAGCCTCAGCTGCCCATCTGTTTCTAGGCCCAGCCTCTCACCAAATGTCATTCACATGTTTTCTGATTTGTTCAGGTTGATGCTTCTCCATCCAGGAGTTCTTAACCTTTTCTAGAGCACGTGTGCCTTTAAAATCTGAAGTAGTTATTGAGCCTTTCCCTTAAAAAGTATATGTTACACCAGGCTCAGAGTTTTACGCAAGGTTAATAGTTGAGTTGTGAACCCTTAGAAACTCAGCTGTAGACTTTCTAGGGCTGAAAAGACCCAGGTCAAGAAACCCTGTACTCTGAAGAGTCTGATTCAAAGTTAAAAGCTTGTACTAAAAGGGATGGGGAGGGCTGGTAAAGGTTGTGGAGAGGGAAAAGGCATCCCAGCCATCAGGTTTGTGGTGCAGTCTGCCATTCTAAGAACACATTGTATAGATGAATGGCAGGTTTTCATAATAAAAAGGCAAAACGATTAAAAGAAACAGCATTAGCTGATAAAATAGATGGCAGAAAGGAAGGTGATACTTTAAGTGATTATTTTAAAATAATGGTAATTGAGATAAAATAGAAAATGCTTTAAATATTATGAAATACAATTAATATAGTAGAGGGGGAGATTAAAAGCATAAGTGGAATGGGCCTCTGCTCTATATTCTTGAATCCTTAGGAGAGCTTGTGGCTGGAGAGCCAAGTCCCACCAAGCACAAGGCAGGACGTTCTGTACAGTCCTGAGAGCCCTATCTTTTAGGAGCAAGCCCTGGGAGCGGGGTGGGAGCTCCAGGACCAGTTTCCCAGGGCTCCAGAGCAGGCTTAGGTTTCCTGCGGGATGCAATCCAGGTTCACCAGTGCCTGGCTTCAGAACATGGGATTCTTCCAGCTGGAAAGGAGACTCCTGGGGAAGAAGTTCACAATTAGGCTGAAAAAGTCATTTTCAAATAGAAATCTTTTTTTTTTTTAACCTGATTTTATCTTTTTGTCTGTTACACAAGTAATTCGCTCTTAAAAGAAAATTTTTTAAGTTCAGCGATAAAAAAATCACCCATTCTTTGACATAATCTAGAGTCCAGTATAAATGGCATTGTGGTCATTTCCCTTTTGGTTATTTTGTACAATTTTGTGATCGTACTCTAAATATAATTTTATATTCTGCCCTTTTTTTGTTAATGTGTTGTTAGCCTTTTCCTTGTCATTAAAATTTTCATGACCTTTAATGGCTGCATGGTACTCCACATTTTGGAATTTAACCTGATTCCCTAATACTGGACGTTTGGAATATTTATGGTTTTGCTGTTATAAATGGTGATGCAGCATTCACTTCTGTGGACAAATCTGTGTCTGAATTTCTGATTATATCTTTAGTACATACAGGGCTCAAGAGGCTCTTAACATATTACTTTTGAAGGTAACTTATACTATATCCTCACCAGCATTTACATGTTATCATTTAAAAGTCATTTTTAATTTAATGAATCAGAAGTAGTATCATTGTTTCATTAATGAGTAGAATGAACTGTTTTTTAGTTTTTGTTTTTTAATTTTTTGAAAAGATTTTATTTGAGAGAGAGTGTGTGTGTGAGAGAGAAAGAGAGCACAAGCAGGGGGGAAGGATAGAGGGAGAGGGAGAAGCAGACTGTCCCCTGAGTAGGGAGCCCAATATGGGGCTAGATCCCAGGACCCTAGGATCATGACCTGAGCCAGAGGCAGACATTTAACCAACTGAGCCACCCAGGTGCCCGAATGAACTGTTTTTCATTGGGCTTCTGGTTTGGTTAGATGTTTGTGCATTTTGCTCACTCACCTATTTAGGTCTTAGGAGGATTCTTAATTTATATACATTTTTTATGGATTAAGGATAATAATCCTTTTTCATATTGGTAGTTATTTTTTAACTACTTTTTTCTCTGACATTTTAATTTCTGTGTTTTCCCCCATTGCTTTACAGCATAGAAAAATTTCACACACCTAAGAGGTAAAATAAGTATTACTGTGGAAATTATTTAACTTACGGTGTAGTTTGTCAGCAGAATAGGTTTTACTTTACTTTTATCATTGTAGAATAATACTGTAAACACGGAGTAGCTGCATCAAGTACTCAGAGACCCTAAAAAGTAAAATACAAAAGGATGACCCAGGGCAAGACAAGGATAGAATATATCTAACTCTGTTAGTTTATTGATGTTGCAATTCTAAGACTGCCTTTTTTTTTTTTTTAATTTTCATAGATGAAGTGTTCAGAGGACATGAGCCAGGGCAAGCAGCAAACAGGTCTGTGTCCGCAGCTGATGTTGTTTTATATGGAGTGAACCTAATTCTGCCTCTGATGTCACAAGATCTTTTGAAGGTAATTGAAGACAGTGAATGTGAATATGCAAAGTGTGTATGTTTGGAGTTAAAAGATATTTTAGACAAGAATAGACCCTTGATTTAATTAAGGGGGTATAAGTACCTGCTTATCTGTTAAGTACACATGAAAACTAGAATTTTAGGTTCCCATTGTGTTATTCGCAATTGTGCATGCAGTTGAGTACGCAGCTCATGCCCTCATTTAATCTTGCCCCAGAGTCCTGCGTTCGCTGATAATTAGTGACAGGAAAAAAATGGTTCTTTTAGAAACTTAATTCTAATGTTAGCAGTTCTGATTCCCTCATCATTTGTCATTAAGCAACTTAAGTTATATGTTTGGGTGTATTCCACTGATACTTTTGAACATCATTCTCAGATTTGAGGGATTGAGCCATAGAAGGCATTTTCTAGCCACCCCATATGGTAAGAAACCAAGACTACCACAGTTTTTAAATTTGTGTACATTCTGATGACCTCGTGTCTTGGTTTCGCCAGTCAGTATTGGTGATGATGAGGCTGCCTTTTCTTCTTTCTTTTAAGTACCATAGGGGAGGGGAGTCTGTTTTATGAGTTGTCACAGAGGGTGAGGGTGGGGACAAAGATGTGGATGGGGAAGAAGTGGGAAGTGTGTGCATGTGCGCATGTATGGAGCTCACACAAGGTAGAGTGGGAGAGGGAAAGAGAAGTCAGTCGTGGGAAGAAAGAAGGTAGAGGTTGAGAAGTGGTTGGACTTTGCGGTTAAGAGTAGGAGTTGCTGGGGCACCTGGGTGGCTCAGTCATTGGGTGTCTGCCTTTGGCTCAGGTCATGATCCCAGGGTCGAGCCCCACATCGGGCTCCCTACTCGGTGGGAAGCCTGCTTCTCCCTCTCCCACTGCCCCTGCTTGTGTTCCCTCTCTTGTTGGGTCTCTCTGTCAAATAAATAAAATCTTAAAAAAAAAAAAAAGAGTAGGAGGTGCTGCCAGATTCCCACAGAGTGGGCTGGGACCGCATGCTTCTTTCCCTGAGAAATGTCTTTGGGAGAGGATACTGATGCCCCGTGAGCCGAGTATTCATGTAGCCACTGTATACTGCTTTGCTTTTAGGGTTTTTTTGGTTTGGTTTTGAGGTTTTTTCCTCATCAAATAGACCATTAAACAGATGTGTATTTCCTTAAGTAAAGTTAAAAGTGTGCATTGCCTACTTTTTACTTCAGTTTTCCAGGACTGTCAACAAACTTTTGGAAGTGTGAAGGAGTGGATATTCTATTCTACACATAGTCTTAACAATTTGTATTTTTCTAATATGCTGGAATGCAAATAAACACATTTGCAAAGGGTTTTAATCATAGGTCATTTAATAATTTGAAATTTGACTGTTTTGTCTACTTTTTCAAGGTAAACAGATATCTGGAATTGGCTGTAGCTTTTATTAACTGTCCAGAAGATCATTGTTTCTACTATGTATTACTTTTGTATACTAAAATATTCCCTTTATTATAACTTATTTTTACATTTAATTTAGTCTGCATGTCTTCTAAATCAATATGTTTTAAAGAAATCATTGTACTTTAAGTTTGTTGGTTATTATTTTATTTTACTGCATTAATGAAAATAGAAATTAGATATCAGTAAGCATCTAAATATTTAATATTTCTTTTTCAGTTTCCAACCCTTTGTAATCAGTACTACAAATTAATCACATTTATCTGTGAGATTTTTCCTGAAAAAATACCACAGCTTCCTGAAGATCTTTTTAAAAGTCTGATGTACTCTCTAGAACTAGGAATGACATCATATCCTTTAAATGAACATCATTATCATTTGTCACTTGGAGTAAAAGATCTTACCTAAAGAAAAGTTTTTAAAATTTGTATTTTTAATTTTTCCTTAGTGGTTTAGTTTTATTTCTTAAGAAAACAGTCATCTACCTCCCTGAATTCTGTTTCTTTCGTTAGTTTGCCTCACCTTCTCCTCCCTTCACAGATCCCAAAGGCGTTTGGCACCTGGTCCTGAAGTCACTCTTTCATTAGGAGCCCCAATTAGTAATGTCATGTACTGTTGCTGAGTCTCAGATCTTAGCTACCTGATAGTAGAGAGTAATAAGGCTTTTTATCACTTGTGTCCTCATGATCAGAAACCTAGAAATCTACAGTCCAAGACCCTCTCAGAAACACCAGAAGCCTTTTCTCACATAATGCCATACACTAATCTACTCCTCTGTATTCAGTCCTAGAATTTGATAATAGCTATAACTTTTTCATCTTTTATAAGTCAAATGTATCTAGTTTGTTCCTTGACCTTCATGATCAGAATGAGTTCGGAGGTTTGCCAGCTGTGCCTGGAAGCTTTGACACCATTAGCTGAACAGTGTGCTAAAGCACAAGAAACAGATTCACCACTTTTTCTAGCAACACGGCACTTTCTTAAGGTAAGATGTTTGGGTGGCCTGTCGTGAAACCATCTGCTTTAATAAGTATGGTCACTGCATGTACATCTTCATTCAAATGAGGAAATGCTTACATCATTCATAAAGCAGGAAATCATTACTTTTTCTTCACTGTGCTTTCTGGAGATTAATTCCCTGGGTACATTATTCTCTGCTTTTATTGTGTGTTCTTGAAAATCGATGTGGGAAAGGCAACAGGGAATTTGGTCATTTGATGATTTCACGTATCACAGCAAGGGGTAACATCTGTACATTATGATTGGATTTTTAAAAAACTGTTTTCTTTAATTTTCAGATTTATTTAATAAGAACAACTACTACCCCTCTTTTTCTTTTTTGGAATGGGGAGGGGCTGGAAGATTGAATGATCATCATATATTTTTATTTAGAGGTTTTATGTTGTGTACTTTCAGCTGGTTTTTGATATGCTGGTTTTGCAAAAGCACAACACAGAGATGACCACTGCAGCTGGTGAAGCTTTCTACACGTTGGTGTGCTTGCATCAGGTACTGGACACAAGGCTCTTCATGGGACTCTTCTCATTTTTTTAGCAAGGAGATTATTCTTGCAGAGAGTGGGCCTTGAATACTTCCAGTTCTTATAGAGTCTGTGACTCATTGCTTCAGTTCTGTCTCAGGCTATATCTCTTTACTTCCTTGTCAGCTCTGACTTTCTGTGTTTATTTGACAATCTGTTTGTCAATTAATAAGGACTTCTTTTCCTTTCTCCACTGTTGTGAATCATCCTTTGCATTGATTGCTGCCCTAAAGCTTGTCCTTAAACAAGTGTGCTAGGAACCAGGAATCAATCAATCCTGAAAGAATAGCAGTGAATGTTTTCTGTCCTTGAGGAATTCAGTTTTGTAAGGGAGACCAGATGAGTAAGACTGGGAACCCAAAGGAGTCTGCCTTGAGAAAGCATGGAAATCAATAGTGTGTATTTCCTATCATAGTATGCAAAATGTATTACTTAATATTACACTGTGGAAAAGAGTATATTGTTTCATTTTATTTTGCTCAGCCTTTAAAGACTCTGAAGTGCTCACTCACTGTTTGGGGTTAATGTAATGGGAGAAAAGTTCCGCTATCTCACCTGTCCCTTCCCTATTCCAATAGAGTAGGTACCCATCAGGTATATGAGAAGAACCATATTGGGTCATCAGCTGCCTTAGTTTCCCAACACTCCTTTCCACTCTTTTTTGTCTGGCCACCCCCACCGCCACGCACATGTAAATGTCCTGCATGACTAAGTGATTGACTTTTTTTTTTTTTCCTTCCTTGTATAGAGTCCATAGCATTTGCTGTGAGTGGCACTCAGGGTTTGGTTTTATTTACCTTTTTAATAAAGATAGGATTTTGAGGCCTTTCATATTACTTAAAGACTCCCTATAGACTTCCTATACCATCTGCGCCCCAAGCCAGAGGTACTCTGGCACTTCAGTTCTTGCTGTGCTCTGTAGGAAAGGTACCCAACTCAGGTCTGTGTCCTTTCGCTATCATCTTACTTCCTTGTTGCTTACTAGGAAGATAGGCTTCTTGTTCCCATAGATACAAGCCATTGCATTCCAGTTGCCTTTTTTTTAAAAACCATATTTACACATTGTAGAAAAGAGAGCAGGGCTTTAGGTGTGGCTGGTATAATATCTTGCTGGGTCTGGCCCCAGAGGGACTACCATTTCTTTTGAATAGGGAAATGATTTGAGTTTATACTTAACTCCTCTGTGAGCAGGTCTGTCCCTTGGATAAAGCATTTGGGGTGGCCATCCTGATTCCATGCTTGTGGGTCAGGGATGGCATACTATGCATTACTCTTCCTTTCCAGATGTAATTAACATTTCATTTCACCATTTTGGTCTATCATGATATTCCAAGAAGCTAATGAAAAATAATGTCAGACCTGCTTTTTTTTCAAGAGAGTTTATCTTGAAAAGCTGTTTTGGTTGAATGTCCCTTAACCCCACACCTACTCCTCTGTATAAGGCTTTATTATAGAGGGCATTAAAAATAGAAGCTCTACACATACACCCCCACCCCTACTCCCATGTTCCTGTATTTCTTCCGCTCCTTCTCCTGCCCTTTCTCCCAGAGCCACTGGGTCCATTACTGGTTCAGAGCACATGTGCTCATTCAAAGTATTCTACTTCCACCTTGAGAAAAGACTGAAATACACTCCTCCCACTATGCCACCTCCTCCCAAACAACTCCTGTCTGCCTTTGTGTGACTCTGCTGTCCTCAGAACTGTGTTGACAGGATGTCTATATTAACCTCTGGGAAATTGTTGAAAGTCAGGTTGCAGACTTAGGTTATATATAAAATGCAAAATAAATATGAATAATGTGCTTGGAAAACAGAAGAGGCGACACAACAAAGTTGGTAATCGCATGACTTCTGGAGCCAAGCAGCCTGGATTCTTGGTTAAAAGCAGTGCGATCTTGGACATACTAATCTCACTGTATGTAAGAACTTCGTCTGTGAAACAGGAGTATAAACAGTACCTACTTCATAGGATTGTTATAAAAAGTGAGTTACTAATGTAAATGACTGGAACAGTACCTGAAATATAGTAAACTTTCAGTAAATGTTAACCATTAAAAAGAGTTGTTGTGATCATTTCACAGTGTATTCAAATAGGGAATTACACCTGAAACTAGTATAATGTTATATGACAGTTACACTTTAATATAAAAGAGAAAGAGCTTTCAGACCCTGCCTTTCAGAATCCCACAACCCCAGTACCTGATGTGATCTACTTGTGTGATGTTTGAGGAAGATAAATGTTCTTATGTGTACTTTATCTCTTCAATAGGCTGAATATTCTGAATTGGTTGAAACATTACTGTCAAGTCAACAAGACCCAGTTATTTACCAGAGATTAGCAGATGCTTTCAACAAGCTTACTGCAAGCAGCACTCCTCCTACGCTGGATCGGAAGCAGAAGATGGCCTTCCTAAAGAGTTTAGAAGAATTTATGGCAAATGTTGGTGGTCTCCTTTGTGTAAAATAAACAACAAAACTTTATGCTTAATTTAGATCTTTCTGCAAAGTGCACTGAATTGCTAAAAGCTGACTTGAGTCTTGTCCTGTTCTTCAGTTCTTTGGCCGTTTTGGATTTTGGAGAGCCTGAAAGTTTGATATGTAATGCAGTGAAACAGGAGAGGTCACCTTTGAATCAGCTTCTGCAGTTGGGTGTTAGCCACAGTCTGTCATATATGTCTTGTAGATTTTGAATGGTGATTTAAGATTTCCAATTCCATATATGTGCAAACAGATATGGGCACCATGAAATGCATATTCAGTGCCTTTCCCCCTTTATCAAAACATTAGATGGCTAGCCAAAGTTTAGAATTTTTGTTAAATTAAACATTAGATGGACATATGCTCCCCATTGTTTCTCAAAATGTTGTCCATACATCACTTGCATCACTCGAGGAGCTGGTTGAAAAGGTAGATTCTTGGGCCCAACTGTAGATCCTCGGAGTCAGAATTTCTGTGTGTTGGGCCTTGGATTCTTCATTTTAATAAGCTCCTCCCCTCTGCCACCCCAAAAGTTTTGAATCAATGCAAAAGACATTAGAAACTCCTAAGAGGTTTTGTGCTTTCACACTTTTCCTCCCTTTGATGATAAGGTTTGTAACTGAGCAGGAGGAAAACACACCGGGTGTTTGTTGGCTTCTTGTAGCACACTCTCTCACTCTTTGTTTTTTTAACATCAGCCTGGTGTCGCAGGTTTTGTGTAATACAGGTCTCTAATCATACTCTGATGCCTGAACTTGAGGAGGAAAATACATGTATATTTTTGTTCCATGAAAAGAACTTTAGGAACTGTAGCCATTTCATTGCCTTAATTTTAAGAAGAAAATACAAAAAAGCAGATTTGTTTTAGTAAGAAATCAAGTCTTGATGCTTCAGAGTTGGTTTAGGGTGTTAGCTGCTATGAACCTGGTGCCCTTTTGATCGTGTATTTATGTGGATTTATGAGTGAAATGAAAGGCTCATTCATATGTAGTCTAACTTTTTGAGTATGTTTCTCTTCAGCCATGTTAGCCCATGGCTAATAATCTACTCTGAGTGGCTTGCTTAAGCAATAACTATTTTAAAGGATGTGAATTACTGATTCATACAGACTATTATACGTTGGGGCATTAGGGGCAATAATTATGCTAGAGTGGACATTCTCCTCATTTCACAGGAGCCATGTAAATTTAATTTAAGAGATTAAAAAATTCCTATTTAGATCCTCTAGTTTGATTTTTCTAATCAGGACTTTTGTACTGCTGCCATGCTCCCCTTAATTCTGTGTGCCAGCTTAAATTATGGAAATGAAAGCTAATTTATAAACTGCAGGCATATGAAACTCTGCCCACCTCAGTGTCAGAAATCCCACAGCACAGTGACAGAGGACTCTGGTGCAGGCGCACTCTGAAACTGTGCTTCTAAGGGGTGGGTTTTCTCCTTCTGCTGTGTTCTTGACACCTACATGCTCAACTGTCCTTCGAATGTAGTGTTCATATCTGAATTGCATATAGTATATGCACCTTCACATGCGATGCTGTGCAAAACTCTGTATAACTCTGTGCTACTAACAGTTATAGTGTCGAAATTACACCCACCCTGTGCATGTGACGTTAGACACGAGTGAATGCAAAGGCTAGGGCCGTAACTTTGTGAGGAACATTACTCTTAATTCAGTCACTGTTGAGTAACAACTGAGGTGGAGCAAAAGCATCTTAAAAGACAGCTAGGAAAAAACTAATATCACTCTTCATGAAATATACATGTTATATTTTTAAAAACACTTTGAACAAGTGCATTTATTTTTAGATTTTTTTTCTTCTTTTTTCCCCTTAACTTGAAAGTCCGATGTGGCATTGTACTTGGTGTTTTATGTTTCCCAGCTCCCTCACGCTTTCTCATTAGTTGTGCGCTGGGCGTATCTGTGTGTTCAGTAAGTATAGTCCCTTTGCCAAAGGACACTGAAATACGCAGCTTAACTGGGTAGGTCTGCTGGCCATGACAAAACTATAATCAAATTGTTAAAAGTAAAGATGAGTAGGAAAGAAATGCCTTGTTAAATAAAAAGGCATCAGTATTTAGTAACTTCTCTCTAGACAGTAATGTATCTGCTGAATTGGCCCAGATGTTATTATAATACTGCAGTTTCATTAGATGAGTTTCAATTAAAGTGAGATTTACTTCGGATTGGACCAAATGATACTTCAGTATTGCCAGAATGTTGATTAGTGGCAAACTGGGGAAAAACAGCCACCACCATTTTCTAGGTAATGGGGATGCCACTTTAATTGCAACGGCTAAGATTTCTTTTCAGGGTGTTTGTGTATGTCTGCCTGATTGAATATTTGTTTAGTTTGGGTCTTCTGTTTTACTTTGTCCAGTTTTGTCTTTGGCTATATTTACTGGCTCTTTGGTTTTTGGGGTTTTTGAATGCTCTTGGCCCAGTGAATGTAAAAGAACACTGGCTTATTTCTAGTAAATTGATTCGTACTATTAAGACTAAGTTGTTAAAAGAGTTTTAAAAACAAAAACATTATTTGTGCCCCCCTTTTTATATGTTAAAGGGACACCATTGACGATATGATTTTTAGAATTTTGTGCTTTACGAAATTTCTGTTGTTCATATATAATATCCTTTAACTTCTAGTTTTCTTTTTTTTTTTTAATTTTATTATGTTATGTTAGTCACCATACAATACATCATTGGTTTTTGATGTGGTGATCTAACTTCTAGTTTTCAATTCATCCTTTGACTTATTTCTTGTTTTATTTTTCTTTCCCATTTGTTTCCCAAAGGCATAGTCTCTACAGAGTCCCAAGGCACAATCACTAGGGACTTGGTCCTTTCACAATTTGTATGCATATTAACAGTACCTGTAACTGTATTCTCGTAGCTCTGTTAAAAGGATTAGTTTGTTTTTACAGTCCTTCTGGATGGGTGGCTGCCTGGGTAGCTAAACTATTTGGCAGTATTTGACACTGTCCTTCTCAACACAGTTATCTGGGTCTTTCTGCCTGGCTGTCTCTTAATCTGTTGGAACACAGGAGGGGCATGTTAACATCACTGCATTGAGTTTTTTGTCTGGTATAAAGTATGACATGTAAAAAAACAAAAAACTTTGCAATATTTTTCAAATTTTAAGAATTTAGTCTTATTGTAAACCATGTATCTAATTATATTACATTACTCTGTTCAGATATGATGGTTACTACCTTTTTTTTTAGTTTTCACTTCACAACCAAGCATCTCTATTATTATAACTTCCCCCCAGCCAGCAATATTTAACATTCCCCCTACTGCCTTTGATTGAACTTTCTCTTTTACCAAGATGTCAAGTCTTTGTCTTTCTAATACCACCATATTTCCCATTTCGGTTAATACTTGTATGAATCCCTCAAGTATGGAAGGGAACTAGCTTTCAGTTCCAAGGATTTCAGGTTTGAGTATCCTAGTCTAGTATTCGGTGTCAGTTGAACCCTTAAAAAACCCTTTTAAAACAGTTTTACTTGTTTCTGTTTGCCACTTCTGTGGTTGTCATTAGACCTTATAAGTTAGCTGTCTCACAGATATCCTGAATAAAATATTAGCTGTTAAGGCAGAAGGAACTTCAATACTTCTTAGTGTTTGTTTGTTTGTTTTTTAAACAGAATAAAGAATGGATTTGGATAAAAGTTTTTTAACATAATTTTCTGTAAATTCTTCTACAAAACAGCATAGCTGATTTGAGGATGTAATAATGTTTTAAATTATTTTAAAATGCAAGTGGGTATTCTCTGATTTGGTAAAACACTACATTTAAGAATTCTTTAAAAATTGATTTTCTAAAATTAAAAAATGTCCAGATTAGGTATATGGCTGAGCTCAAATTGATTTGAAGTGCCCTGGTGAAAGCTCAACTTTAAATATTTAGATTTAGATGTGAGAAATGTGAACTATTCCTGACTGATGATAATGGGAACCCATAACATACTTAGCCAAAGAATATATTTGGTTCAGGCAAAGATATAAACCTAATAATGGGCATCCATTTTTTTTTTAAAGAGGATGGATGAAGTGTTGTGTTCTGGCCTGTAGCTCCCTCTGCTTAGAAAAGACTGAAGTATTCTGCAGCAGCTTCAGTGGTGACTAGGAGGTGCGACTGGCACATCACACTCTGAGACCCACACCAAAAGCCGTCTTCATCCACCACATCCACTGGGCTTTGCTCTTCACTTATTCCCAGGCCTTCCTGCCAGTGGAGAGGTTTTGTTTTCTTTTTCTGTCTATATTCGTAGGCCTCTTAGGTATTAGGAGCTGTCAGATGTGTACTAATAGCTAATGTTCCTAGCCTGAAATTAAAAGTACTGCATCCGCACCATGTACCTGATGGGGATCTGACCTCAAGTGTGTTCTGAGCCCAGGCTTCCTGGCGTGGTGTCTTTTTTAACCACATAAGATTCTGACAAATTGCAAATACTGGTATTGTGATTTGGTTCTCTGTACAAAGAAAGAAGCTCCATGCAGTGAGTTTGTGGTTTGATGGTCACAAAATGTTAGCACTGCTACCATTCAGCACGTGTAAAATTTTTTAAATTTATAAATATTAAAATTTTAAACTTACACTAAGACTTTTCAGTTTTTTTAAAGAAACCCAGGGATGAGTATGCTGTTTAAATATTTACCTCTATTAACATTACTAATGAAGGTATAAAGTTGCATTTAATTTTTCAAAAGATGCTACAGTATGATTTTAGGAAATAAGGCTATGTACTGAGCCAGTTACAAGCTGAATATCAGATTGATAAAATTTTATTTGTATTTTTAAAATCCATAAATGGGAGTTAAATGTGTCTTTTCACTAAATATTTTTATTACAGTTTTGTTTTGACCATGTGTGATTTGTTCATGGGTATTTAGCTAGACTGTTTTATGAAGCTTATTGAAATGGTGCTAGTTCGTTTACAATCATAGTATGTGACACTGGGGACATTGCATAATCATAAAATAATTTCGAATAAAAATCATGAGACATATCTGTACAGATAAAATAAAGATTTGCATTAACCTTCTGAGAAAACACCCAAACCGTAATAGAGTATTCAAAATTCAGAAAGAAAAAAGTTCGTTTATATTCTTTAATATCGAGCATATTTTTTTATTTCAACTCACGGTCTTAGAAACATTTTCAAAGTTATTAGTTAAATCACTGGATTTGGGCATATTTGTAGTAAATATTTTTAGTAGTTTGGGTCATTCTTTTCAGCCTTTCAGGTAAAGTGGAACATTACCATCATGCTCTGTGTTAGACTTACAGACTTGAACCCTTTGCCCAATCTTAAATCTTGTAAACATGTGCAGTGGAAAGTTAATTTTTTTAAGAAAAGGAAATGCTTGAAATATATTTATTTTAAACTTGATTTTGCTTTGAATATTCATTGATTTATAATGGTATTTCTTAGGTTATGTTGAAATTTGATTTTACTCCAAGGATGGATAAAGAAACAGCAGGTTGTTTAAGAGGCAGAGTAAGTAGAGTACATGTTGAGTTTTTGATTCACCCTCTTTCATTATTAAGGGGGGACGTTAGGCACAGACTAATCATCTGTCATTTGAAGAGAGCCATAGACGATTTTAAAGGTCCCATATATAAAAATTAGTATTTTTAAAAAGTCATCTTTAATGGTTCTCTCTAAAAATACAGTCATTTTATATTGAGTGGTTTGTGAATAATGCCTTTGATGCGTTGGTTAGATATATGACATTTTTGTTTGTGTTTTAGGCATAGCATCCCAGATTGAGTCTGTGCATTCTTTGTAATCTCAAATGGCAGTTCAATTCGACTTTCTTTTAAAACTAAGCAGAAGCAATAGCATGTTCAGTGAAACTATTGAGAAAATCTCCCACTCAGAAATTCCATACAGTACTAATAGCAGTGTTCTGTCTCACCTCCTATTGACTTCTTTCCGGGTAAATTATTTTTAACATCTAGCATGACATTGAACAGAGAGAGGTAAGTCACTGATGGTTCCAGGAGTTGAAGAATGAAAAAACTAAAGTGAAGAGCGCTTAAATAGGGATGTGCTAAATATTCTTATTTCCACAGTAGTTAGCAGTTTTAAGTTTTTATGGTGTTCACTTCAGTTTACTTTGCCAGGTGAGTCTTCAAATATTCCTATTAGTAAGCCTGAGATCTTAGGCTGCAATACTCATTTGTATACCTGGTTATAATTGCATTGCCCTCGATGGTCCTTTCTAAGGACTGACCTGGTAAAGCCATTTGAACTGGTACGGTACAGGGGAGAAGCAGAGAGACCTAGATTGATTTCCTAACTAAGCTAATATTTAGGGTTTATGTTAATTTCCATGGGCCTTTCATCTATATAATAGGACCATAAATAATGTTAATTCTTCCCAAAGGAAAAATTTAAAACATGGTAATGGATATAATAGATGCTCAGTAGATTCCATTATATTTAAAGATTATTTCTAAGAACGCATTTTGATCAATAAACGTCCTAATACAAAGTCTAATACCTGATAGTCATTAATTATTTTTAAATACTGTGATACCTTCACATCAATAAAATGTGACCTTCTAGCCCTAGCCACAACCACCATGTTGATATTGGGATAGAGTTCACCATATTATTTACTGTTTCTTCTTTTCTATATGAGAAAATTGATTGATTTAAGTCAGTGGTTTCAATTTCTGTTGAATATTCAGCTCCTGTTCCTACAACAAAAACAATCCTAAAGTGATTCCTAAAGTAAGTTTCACGAATCACTAATTCTTTATAACTTAGCTGTTATCAAATAAATTGGAGAAATAAAACAAGTGGGGATTTTGGGGTTTTTTTTTTTTTTAACTATGTGAAGTTAAAGCTTTACTACATTAATGCACGTTGGAAACTAGAAGATCTTAATGAGATTTTTATCAGCCTATTTAATGGTTTCTATTCAAAGCATCTTATGGGACTAGAATTCTCGTGAACATCCTTTGCAACATGCTTAGGTTGAATAATCTGGTGATACAGTCCTTGACGAATGGAAGAAAAAAAAGAAAAGACCAGAATCTGTGTTCTTGTAATTATAGGTAATTACTAGTTATTTTTTAGAAAGGGAAAACCAAGTCTAAGTTCGTCTTAAGAGACCTTTTCAAAGTAATCTTCATTCCTTTTATGCACCATTTCTGAAGAGCAGCAAGATGAACAAAAATAATTTCTGAATACACAAAGGAGTAATTCCTGGATTGAAATTGATTTGAAAGCATCTTTCAAGTCTAGTTTAACTTGACAAATAATCTTCAGTAATAAATTGCCTTTGATGTTTTACATTTCTTTATGATTTTCAAAAACCATTGAATTACAATGCAAAAGTTTCATCAGGAAAATTCTAATCTTCATGCAGCAGAGACGTGCTGTCTGGGCAGTCAGCACTCTTGGTGGAGGTACAATTATATGAACTTCCTGACATCTAAGTCACTTTATAAAAATAACATGTAGTCGTACACATTACATGTATAAAAATAACATGTAGTTGTACACATTACATGAAGGTAACTTGTGTCTCATGTTATGAAAGCAGTTGAAACTTTGAAAGCTTAAAAAGATGTTTCAAACCAAAAATAATTTGCTTTAGCATAAACTTTTCTCTTAATTTATAAGCCAAGGCAGTCTCGTATGTATGAAACACTACCTCTGTAAAAATGTACTGCCATAGGATGCCTGGGTGGCTCAGTTGGTTAAGCGACTGCCTTCGGCTCAGGTCATGATCCTGGAGTCCCAGGATCGAGTCCCGCATTGGGCTCCCTGCTCAGCAGGGAGTCTGCTTCTCCCTCTGACCCTCCCCCCTCTCATGTGCTCTCTCTCTCTCTCAAATAAATAAAATCTAAAAAAAAAAAAATGTACTGCCATAAAAGTTGGTTATTGTTTTAGTTTATGTTATTGATTTCTTAGTTTTACACATTTTCTTTCCAGCCCCTTTAAGTTACATCTGATTTTGAAATATTGTTTAATAGATTTGTTATCAGTTCAAAGCATTCAAAGTAAATAAAGCGTGGGTTGTTACAGACCTGCAAACTTTTTATTTATTTATTTTTTTTTAAGATTTTATTTATTCATTTGAGACACAGAGATACAGAGACAGAGAGAGAGCATGAGCCAGGGAGAGAGGCAGAGGGAGAGGGAGAAGCAGGCTCCTCGCTGAGCCAGGAGCCCGATATGGGGTCCTGACCTGAGCGGAAGGCAGACGCTTAACCGACTGAGCCACCCAGGCGCCCCCTGCAAACTATTTAAAACAGGAATTATGGTACCCACAAAGTTGTAAACCTCTTTTATGAATATTGAATGGCATCATTTGGCCCCTGAGCAATTCATTTATATCCTCATCCCAAAAAGGATTTAAAGCTATTCAGAATATATAAACTTAGCAAGATCATAAAATTGATAAAGGAAAGGAAGGTAGGAACATAACATTGATTGCCTTGGGGAATGGAAAAATACCTCACGATTTGGTAACAGCAAAGGTGGAAGGGAACCCTTCTTACAGTAAGTGCCTGTTAGAGGTGGTAAGTACTGTGTGCTGGATGTCTCATATATTGAACGCACTCAAGACTGAAGGCTCTGAAAGACTCCTGGCAAATCAGCTGACCAAAAAGTATCCATCATTTTCATGGAGAATGCTGTTGCCTCATAATCACATTGTTTGCCAAATTAGTAGCTGGTCTTACTTCAGCATGAAGACAGCTGTCTACGTCATCCATTCTCCAATCAGATCTTGCATATCTCTTGCATTCTTTGCAGCAGGTAGGCAAATCCTATCGAGGAGGAAATCTGGCCAAAGTGCCGGGTTTGAGTTTTTCTAATCCTGTCAATATTGCAAAGCCTCAATTTAATGTCTTAATTCCTCTACTTTTTTAAATTTAAAAGAAATTTTTTAAATTCCTAAGACTGGGTAAACTAGATAGAGGTTTGAATTTATGTTTGTGAAACGTACATCTAGTTTCAAGTGCAAAAGCTACTTGGAATACGTTTCATTTGAAGGGAATCTAAAACCTTAAATTCTATTGCCACCATTCTTGGAGGTAATTTATAAGACAGAGGAATTCCCATCAGGAGTCAGCACTTGCGGACTCGCAGAGCGGGACTTGAACGCTGGGAGGAAGCTGCATTCCCCCGTCTTCCGGAAGTGCCCTCGGGCGGGAGGGTGTGCGCATGCGCGAAAGCGGCGCGGCCTGGTACCGCCCGCTGTCCTAGCTTGGGGTAACTGCGCACGCGTGGCTTGTGAGTGGACGATCCTGGGCGCCAAGGTGGGGTAGTTTCCGCGCTGCTCAGCGGCTTCGGAATCGGTTGTTTTTCTTATTCTGTTTGTCACCCATTCTCCAGTGCAGTAAAGGAGGAGGGGTTACAAATAGTGGTGTCTGGGGATGGCAGGAGAGCTGCAGCCGAGCCGGGAGGGGAACCTGGTTGCTGTTGTGTGACACCCGGCCCGGGGGCGTCCGCACGACCGGGGCTTAGGCCGTCCAGGCGCGGGGAAGAGTTAACCCCCAGGCCAGAGCAGCACGAGAACTCCCCTCCGATGAGAAACGGGACTGGGCCTACTGCCCTTTACTTCTTTGCCCCGGACGTTCGAGCCTCCACACTTGTCTCCTGGGGCGTTAGGAGGGAGGTCTGCTGGGCGCGGGGTGTAAAGTGGAGTAGACTAGGCCCCAGCTCCCCAGGGGAGACGGGAAACTTGGCGGTGCAGAAGGGCAGTAGCGTCTTAGTGGTACAGGGATCATCGTAAGGGACCTAGCTGGGGTGGGGGACACTTTCCGGGGGGAAAGGAGGGGATGTGTAAGACCAGAAGGGTATCGTGACAGGGGTTGTGGTTACGTGG